CATTGCCCAGTTGATGGGCAGCAACTTTGTTTCCAGTTCTTTGTTACCACAAAGAGTACTGCTGTAAAGATTCTGGTGTATACGGAACCTTTCCTTTTGTCGATGACCTCATTGATACGTGCGTACATGTATATAGACACACACACATATATGCTTAGCAACGGATTGAATCTCTGGGTCAAGTTTTGATGACTTTATTTGCATAATTCCAAATTCCTGTCACATTTTCCTGTTTTCTGGGTTGGAGTTGAGGCCTCAGGATTGTTTTGATTTTCATTTCTCTTACCAGTGATTTGGAGGATTCTTTCATATGGCTGTTCATAGTTTGCCACTCTTTTGAGAACTTTGTTCATATCCTTACACCATCAATCTCTTTAATTTTTTTATTCTGAATTTAACAAACATTAAGTAAAATGAGCATTTTTATATATAAAGTAGAACAGAAAAAAGAGGATGGTATGTTGACCAGCAAATCTCTCTAATGCCCTGCCTCCTTTCCTTTCGAGTCTATAAGAAACTGGACATTTAAACTCAGCATTCAAACTTGTAACTCAAATTCAACAGATAACTATCTACTTGTCTAGGATTCTTTCTGGCTTTAAAAAAAATCCTTCAATGTCCTCTGTTTATATATACTTTTTCTAACTGCTGTAATAATGAGAAATTTTTTATGAATTACAAGTATCTTCTCATGTAGGAATGTAAACAGTTTAACCATATTAAATCCCTTACGATTTCCCTTTCCTGTTTACCTTTTTGTGCTTCTTTTGAGTCTCAGATTTGAAAGTCAGATTTTCTATTCAGCTTTAGTCTTTTCATCAAGAATACTTGACAATCCTCAATTTCATTGAATGTCTATTTTTCCCCTAAAGGATTATGTTCAGTTTTGCTGGGTAGGTGATTCTTGGTTATAATCCTAGCTCCTTTGCCCTCTGGAATATCATATTCTAAGCCCTCTGATCCTTTAACGTAGAAGCTGCTAAATCTTGTGTTATCCTGACTGTGGCTCCACGATACTTGAATTGTTTCTTTCTGCCTGCTTGCAATATTTTCTCCTTGACCTGGGAGCTCTGGAATTTGGCTCTAATATTCCTGGAAATTTTCATTTTGGGATTTCTTTCCCAAAATTGGTGATTGGTAAATTTTTTCGGTTTCTATTTTACCTTCTGGTTCTAGTATATCAGGGCAGTTTTCCTTGATACTTTCTTGAAAGATGATGTCTAGGCTCTTTTTTTGATCATGACTTTCAGGTAGTCCAATAATTTTTAAATTATCTCTCCTGGATCTATTTTCCAGTCAATTGTTTTTCCAGTGAGACATTTCACATTGTCTCCTATTTTTTTCATTCTTTTGGTTTTGTTTTATTGTTTCTTGATTTCTCATAAAGTCATTTTGCTTCTGCTTGCTCAATTCTAATTTTAAGGAATTATTTTCTTTTTTTTTCTTCTTTTTTTGTAGGGCGGGGGGCTAGGCAATGGGGTTAAGTGACTTGCCCAGGGTCACACAGCTAGTAAGTATCAAGTGTTTGAGGCTGGATTTGAACTCAGGTCCTCCTGACTTGAGTGTTGGTGCTCTATCTACTGCACCACCTAGCTGCCCCAGGAATTATTTTCTTCAGTGAGCTTTTGTACCTACTTTTCCATTTGGCCAATTCGACATTTTAAGGAGTTTTTTCTTTAGTGAATTTTTGTGCTTTTCCCATTTGACCAATTCTGCTTTTTAAGGCATTCTTCTCCTCATTGGGTTTTTGTACCTCTTTTACCATTTGGCCTAGTCTGGTTTTTTTTGGGGGGGGGGAGGCAAGGCAATCAGGGTTAAGTGACTTGCCCAGGGTCACACAGCTAGTAAGTGTCTGAGGCTGGAATTGAACTCAGGTCCTCCTGACTCCAGGGCCAGTGCTCTATGTATTGCACCATCTAGCTGCTCCTGGCCTAGTCTAGTTTTAAGGTGTTATTTTCTTCGCTATTTTTTGTGTCTTTTTTTTTTTTAACCAAGCTGTTGACTCTTTTTTCCTGATTTTCTTGCATCATTCTTATTTCTCTTCCCAATTTTCTTCTACCTCTCTCATTTTTTTCTTCATCAGTATCAAGTCACTTTATTGGGATGTAAATGGTGATAGTTTGTTGGTACAGATAATGAAAAGGTCAGATAACCAAAATAGGCATGCACGGAAAGACAATAGGAATTACACCCACACTCCTCAGGTGTGGGGGAAGCCAGGTGTGGCTTAGCTCTCATTGTCATTGTATCTAAGAGTGTGCTTGTCAAAAAGATATTCTGCTATGCCAAAATCGGAGACCCCCATTTTGCACAAGTTGGTTACATGATCACCCAGTTGTTTGATGGACTTTACCTGTTCATCCAGGTAGTGGGTTTTGATCCTTCTACCTCTTACTTGATTTTCAAACTCCTTTTTGAGCTCTTCCATGGTCTGAAGCCAATTCATATTTTTCTTGGAGTCTTTGGATATAGGAGCTTTAACTTGGTTATCTTCTTCTGAGTGTATGTTTTGATCTTCCTGTCACCATAGTAACTTTCTATAGTCAGAATGATTTTCTGTTGTTTGCTTATTTTCCAGCCTATTTCATGACTTTTAATTTTGTTAAAGTGAGACTGCTTCCAGGATGGTGGTGCACTGTCCCAAGCTTCAAGGGTTTTATGCAGCAGTTTTCCGAGATACTTCTAGGGACCGGCAAGTTTTCAGTTCTTCCAAGGTGGTGTGATCTAAGGAGAGGTGTGTACCCCTCTCCTGGCCTGTGCTCTGGTCAATGAGTGACTACAAGCACTCTTTTCTTTCCTGGAACTGTGAGGAGAGTGCCCCGCTCCACTGTGGCTGTGAGCTCTTGTGTGCTAGTGCTCTTCCTGACCCTGGGACCGCCTCGCAGGAGTGCGGCCTTGATCAGCGCAACAGAGTCCTGCCTCAGCGCTAGCAAAGAGACCCCTGTAATCTCCCTCTGACAGTTGTTTCACCCCCTTACTGTCTGTGGGCTGAGCTCCAGAAGCATCTACTGCCGCTGCTGATTCAATAACTCTCAAGGCCTGCTCCTGGCTTGCTGGGTGTGGTCTGTGCTGGTATGGCCTGCACTGGACTGTGCTCCACTCTAACCTGGGTGCAACAGACTTTTCATGATGACATTTGAAGTTGTTTTTGGCTGGAAAATTATTTCACCTCATCCTTTTGTGGGTTCTGCCATTCTAGGAATTATTTTATGGCATGACTTAAAGGTTTTCAGGCGAGTTTTGAGGAGAGCTCAGGTGAGTCATTGCCTTTTCTCCGCCATGTTGGTTTTACCTCTGGGGACTCTTAAGCATTCTGGAATAGCTTTCTCTAGACCCTGGCATCCCCTATCCTTTATTTCTCCTCTCTCCCAGCCACACTCCTAGAAAAGGCTGTCTGTACTCCCCCTTTTCACATAGCACTTGCTACCTGTCTTCTGAGCCCTCTATTCTCTGGTCACCAATGATCCCATCATTGCCAAGTCTAATGGCCTTTTTGTAAATGCTCATCCTCTTGACCTCTCTGTGGCATTTGATACTGGGAATCACCCTCTCCTTCTGGACTCTTTCTTCTCAGGTTTTTAAGGTACTGTCTCATCCTGGCTCTCCTCCTACCTATCTGACCATTCCTTCTCAGTCTCTTTTGCAAGTTCATTATCCATGTTCTGCTTCCTCTGTAGAGCTCACCCAGGGCTCTGTCCTGGACCCTCCTCTTCTTTCTGTACTATTTTAATGGTCTCATTGGCTCCCATAGGTGGTCGATCATCTCTGTGCCTATGACTGCCAGGTCTAGATTCCCAGGTTCCCATCCCCTGTTCCTGCCAGACATCTCTCCCTGGATGTCCTGTAGATATCTCAAACTCAGCATGTTGAAAACTGAACAAGTTATTGTTCCCCCTATATTCACCCTTTCCTTATGTTCCTTATATCTATCAAAGGCACCACCACTATTCGAGTCACCCAGGTTTGTGACCTGGGAGACAGCTAGGTGGTGCTGGCCTGGGGTCAGGAAGACATGACTTCAAATCTAGTCTCAGACATTTACTAGGTGTGTGATCCTGAGCAAGTCACGCCACCTCTGTTTGCCTCAGTTTCCTCATCTGTGAAATGGGGATAAAAATAGCATCCACCTCCTAGGGTGTTGTGAGGATCAAATGAGATAATATTTGTAAAGCACTTAGCACAGTGCCTAGTACAAAGTATGCACTATATAAATGTTAGCTATTATTATCATTAGCTTTTATCCTTCACTCATCGTGCTCATTTATTCTCCACCCCTCCCCATATCTTAGTCTACCTTCTCACCATTTTTTTTCTCCTCCCCACATGACCCTAAATCACTTCTCATTGGGACTATTGCAACCAACTCCAAACTGGTCCCTGATTCGCCCCTCCCCTGTCCAAGTGATATTACTGAACGTACTGGTCGCTCTCCTGCCGAAGAAGACTCGGGGGCTCCCCGTCGACTCTCGTCTAGACTGTAGTGAACTGCTCTGATTGGTATTTAAAGCCTTTCGCAATTTGGCTCCTACCAACCTTTCCACGACAGCTGTGCACAACTGCCCCTCACACACTAAACTCCAGCTGAATGAGTTCCCTTGATGCTACTCAAACAGAACACTCCGTCTCCATGCCTTTGCCCAGACTCCTCCCCATACTTTCCTTCCCAATCTCCCCCTTTTGCTTTCCCTCTAAGATAGCTCCAATTTGCTTCCAGCACCCAGCAAAGTGCCAGGCACGTAGCAGTCCCTTAACAATCACTCACTTGACTGATTGATTAAAGTCAATTAAGGTAAACGAAATCATGGAAGTCAATTCAAGTGGAGTCAGGTGAGTCACGGAGGTATTTTCCCCCTTCTCTGTGGCCAATGACCTGAATGAGGGAGGGGGAGGCAGGAGGGGCTGGACTGAGGGTGAAAAAAGTCTCGGGGACAAAGAAGTTTGAGCAACAAGGCTATGAGCCCTTCTTCACAGAGTGTTGACTGAATGACTCTTCCCCACAGAAACAGCCTGGGATGGACAACACCAGCAACTGTACCTATGAGGACAAAAGCCAGCTCCAGGAGATAGCCATGAGAGTGTACATCATCATTTTGCTGGTTCTGGGTATTATGTTCAACGCCTTGGCCTTGTGGGTGTTCTGCTGCCACATGAGAAAGAAGTGGACAGAGACGGTCATCTACATGACCAACCTGGCTGTGGCAGACTTCTGCCTGCTCTGTGCCCTGCCCATCATGCTCTACTCCCAAAAGCACAGCAAGCAAGAGGACACCGTGCTGTGCCAGACCTCCCAGAGCATCTACCTGGTGAACAGGTACATGAGTATCAGCATCATCACCATGATTGCTGTGGACCGCTATGTGGCCATCAGGTTCCCGATGCAGGCCAAGAGGCTGCGGTCCCCTGGCTGCTCTGCCATCATCTGTGCTGTTCTCTGGGTTTTGGTCATCATCTGCACAGCCAGCCACATGGCCTGGCAAGTCAAAGATGGCGGCTTCTGCTTTTCCAATGAGAATTTCAAAGGGTCAAAGACATCCATCTTCTCCATCCTTAGCTTCTTCATCCCCTTGAGCATCCTGACCTTCTGTTCAACCCAGGTGATCGTGAGCCTGGTGAGGAAGAAGAAGACGGATGCCCACAAGAACAGACACATCCAGAAAGCCATCTGGATCATCAGCACCAACCTGCTCGTCTTCGTGGCCTGCTTCCTGCCCATGCATGTGGCCTTGAGTGTCCGGCTCATCATGAATCCCACGACCTGCTCCAGCATACGCACCTGGAAGAATGTCATTTTTATAACCTCACGTTTGTCCAATGCCAACTGTTGCCTGGACGCTATCTGCTACTATTTTGTGGCCAAGGAATTCCAGGAGGCATCAGCCAAAACCATCTTCACTTTGTCCAGGCCCTACAAGCTCCAAGACTCAACACAGGGATCTGCTGCTTAACAAATGTAGACGTCAGAGCTGCCATAGCTTCTTGAATTATGGTCCCTGTGGTGGGATGGAGAGGGAGTGGCTGGTCTTAGAGGACCACATGCTCTGCCGGTGTTTCCTGCTTTACCATCCAGCATGCACCCCGCCTCACCCTCAGAGCCCTGGTGCTGGGATTCAGGAGAGGCAGGCTCTAGTCCAAGGTCTTATCATCAGCTTACCGTGTGACCTTGGACAAACTATCTGGCTTTCCTGGGCCTCTATTTCCTCATCTGTGAAATGGGCAGATGGGGATGGGATAAAATGCAGGCTTGACCGTGACAAGTAAGAAGCTTCACTGGCTCCCCATCACCTCTTGGATCAAATAAACTCTTTGCCTGGGGCTTAGAGTCCTTCACAGCGTGGCCCCAGCCCATCTTTCTAGGCAAACTACACATTCCTCTCTTTCACATACAATGCATTCCAGTCAGACTGGCCTCGTTGCTGGTCCTAGGCCTCTTATCCATCTCCCAGCTCCGTGCCTTTGCATAGGCTGTGCCTTCTGGAATCTCTGGCTCAGCAACAGGCCTTTCCTGATGCCCTCCTTGTTCATGTTCCCCTCCTCCAGTCACTTTGGATGTATTTGGTGTCTCACTTGTACTTGCCTACGAACATGGTATATGTCCCAGGAGAACGGTGAAAACCAAAGCCGTGGTTTTGGCTTGGAATCCTCAGTGCCTAGCACTGTGCGTGGCACATTGTAGGTGTTTAATAAATACTGGGTGGATTTTTGTACATGTTATCTCCCCGCCATCTCCACCCGAAGTGTAAATGCCCTGGTGGCAAGGGCGAATGTGAGATTCTGTTTCTGTCTACGTTTCCCCAGTGCTAAGCACATCCTTCAAATGTCTTGGCACATAGCAGGTATTTAATAAATGCTAATTAAATTGAATTGAACCAGGAGTAGCCTTGCCACCTTGTGACTTTTCTTCCCTTTGTCCCTCAACACACACACACACACACACGCACGCACATAATCACAATACATATGTACATGCCACACATATACACATATGAACACACATGCACACAATATGTACCGCACATACAACATGTACGTGCATATAATGCATGGCACACACATGAACACATCCCAGCACATGTACACACATTCCCATGCACATGCACATATAGACACACACCACACACACATGCACACAAATCTATTTGCCCATACACATGTGGACACACTCGCATGTACACACACAGCACATATGTCTGTTCATACATACACACCCAAATGCACACCTGTATATACATGCATGCAAGCATACACATATGCACACACACACCCTGCATCCCTCACTCCCCTCTCCCTCAGATTACAGGAGTTGCTCCAGGCATGACTAGAGGTCTGGGCCAAGGACATTCCTGAGGGTTGGAGCTGGAGAAAACAGGGATTAAGGGATCCTGCGCAGGTGTGTCTCTGGCTCTGCCATGGGAAAGGGGGATGGGTTAGTGTCTGATGTCCAGAGACATCCTATAAAATCTCTCCTTGGGTGGGAAAGGAAAGGTTAGGGACAAACCAGCAGCTTGGTATAGTGGAGCTGGGAAGCTCTGGGTTCGAATCCTGCCTCTGGCACTAACTGGCTGGGTGACTCTAGGCAACTCACTTAACATCTCTCAAGCTGTTTCCTCAATTGTAAAATGAGGAAGTTGGACTTTCAGCCGATCAATAAACATTTCTGAAGTGCTTGGCACTGTGCTAAGCAGTGAGCAAAGAGGCGTGGGATGCTTCTGGAATTCCATGGAAGCTTTGGGCTTCTGTGCACCTGGTCCTGGGTCATTCACTCTGAAAGCCTCAGTCAGAGCTCAAGAGGACCAGGCTGGGCCAAGCTGGGCTGGGAGTGCAGGGGTCTTCACCCACCTGGTCCTATCCCGGCCCTCCTCTAGTGTTTGTGGAGAAGAGAGGGGCCACGATGCTGCCTGGAGTCCTGAGGGCCAACTCAGCAGGGGGCAGGGTGGTGCAGTGGGCAGGGCCTCTGGGATCCTGGCTCAGGGCTGCAGGGGGCCTCTGAGCTCCTCACCTGGGAGCTGAAGAAGCTCTTTGGCTCCCTCCAGAGGGGAAAGCCTTGAAGGTGGAATGCAAACCTGGCTCCAGCTTGTAAATTAAGTTAACTGTTTGCCTTTCCAGGCTGGTCACCATGACTTTTGTCCTTTACCTGCCTAAGCTTCCCGCCAAAGTGGCCTAGCTGAGGGGCCTTCTTCAGGATAAATGATACCTCTGATTACATGCTATGTCATCTCTGGCTTCCTTGCCTTTGCACTGGCTGTCCCTCATGCCTGGCATGCCCATTCACCTCCTAACATCGGCATCTTGGAATCTCCATCTCCCTTCAAGGTCCACGAGTACTACTCCTTCCTTACCCAATTATTTAGTATTTACTGTGGTGGCTAGGAGGTGCACTAGATTTAGAGCCAGGGAGCCCTGGGTTCAAATTCTGCCTCAGACACTCATCAACTCTATGATCTTAGGTAAATCACTTAACTCTTCCCAGCCTCCGTTTCCTTGTGTATAAAATAGAGATAGCACCTACCTCACAGGGTTTTTGTGAGGATCAAATGAAAAGACATGTAAAGTACTTGGCAAAACCTTAAAATGCTAGCTACTTAGTAGTAGGAGTAGTAGGAATAGTAGTATTGCTACATGTGTAGCAATGTATGTATTATATATATATATATATATATATATATATATATGATATATATGATATACACACACATACATACTTTGTATCTACAATGAGGCAATGTGATACTTACAGAGAGGTGGCCTCAAAGTGAGGACGACCTGGGTTCTAGTCTAGCCTTTGACATCCGGCTGGGTGACCCTGGGCAAGTCACAACTCCATGCCCCCAGGCAACTCTATAAGACTATAAATTATATAGAAGGTGTTATTCTGCGTTGGTAGAGAGGCTCTCTCACCCAGAAATCACAAGAGTGGTTAAAAAAAACAACTTTGTATTTATTTATTATTTTGTATTTATATGCACGTGTGTTATTTCGGCACTAGGTTGTAAGTCTCTTTCTGTCTTTGCATGGCAGGTGCCGAGCAGTGTCCAGCACCTAGAAGGGGCTCAGTAAATACTTGTTGACTAATTGATCTCGTCTGAGACCTTTGTTTTCTGGGTGAGGAAGCTGGGCCCAGAGAAAAAGGGACTTTCCCAAAGTTACCCAGCTGGTCAGTGCAGAGCCCAGGTCCCCTGACTTGAAGGGTGTCTCTCTGTCCACTCACCTAACACCTCAAGTGTTAGGCGAATCTCTTGGATTTACTTCTTGCTGTTTATGTGACTTTAGGAAAGTCTCTTCCTGTCTCTGGGGCTTAGGTCCTTCCTGTGTCAAAGGAGGGCCTGAAGGTCCCTTCTAACTCAAGATCCCATTTCAGTAGAGAGAATGAATTGGTCTCTGGTGGCCGTCCTAGGGAATCTGTTCCCGGAGCTCCCCTGGAAAATTCTGGGGATTCCGGAAAAGTATCAGACTCTTAGCAGATTGTGACAATAGTTGTAAGTTAAGTTACTGAATGCTATTTTAAGTGTGTTTTGTCAAGTATCTGTTTGTGTGCATGCTATGTTTAGTGTTCCTTTGGTGTATGTAGAAAATAAATAGCTGTCCCATACCTGATTCATGCTGTTTGTCGTTCATCTGTTTATCTTTCCCTTTTGTGGAAACCTAGATATTAGCCTAAACCTAAGCTTTAAAAAATGTGCCCTTGGGGCACCATGGTTGGGGTCTGATGAACCAAAAAGTATAAGAAAAGAGTACAGTTCCACTCTCGTTACAGGCTAGGCTCTCCCCAGGAATGAACTAGGGCCAGACCATGTGCCTGGGGCCATAGCAGAAGGGTTTCGGAGGGAGAGCAACTGGACACAATATTCCAACCCTGGGGACCCAGCAGATGTTCTTCAACTCCATTACCCACTTGTAAAATGCCAGTCCAGGCAAACCATGCCATTCTTTTGCTCTAATTTCATTTAAAAACCAAATTCCCTACTCAAGGGAGGCACAATAAAAGAACCTGCCCTGCCCTCAGAAAAGACCTAAGGCATCTACTGAAAATGCCCTTAGGGCCCAGCTCTGGTGCTGTTACTGCCTCCTCCAAGAAACCTTCCCTGATTCAGCCACTTACTCTCTGCCCTTTGGAGTGACTTTTCTCTCTTTAGGATTCTCTCAAAACATCTTTGAGTGAAAAGGAGCACTGGGTTTGGAGTCAGGGGTCCTGAATTCAAATCCTGCCTTTGTCATTTGCTACCTGTGTGACTTTGGGCAAATTAATGCCCTTCTCTGGGCCTCCATTTCCTCATTTATTAAGTAAGAGGATTAGACTAGGGAGTCTCTGAGGCCATCCAGCTCTAGAGACCCTTCCTTGACATTCCCTTCCGCATCTAGATGCTAGTCAGGCTCTTACCAAGCACCTACTATGTGCCAAGCAGAAGGCAGCTGGGTGGTGCAGTGGGTAGAACTCTGGGCCTGGAGTCAGGAAGACCCGAGTTCAAATCTGATCTTAGACACTTACTAGCTGTGTGATCCTGGGTAAGTCACTCAAACTCTGCCTTAATCCATTGAGAAGGAAATGGCAAAGCACTCCAGTACCTTTGCCAAGAAAACAGGCTCAGGAAAAGTCAGAGCAACTGAACAGCAGCAACAGCGTACCAGGCACCGGTAAATAATGGCGACAGGCTTATGAGAGGAGGACAGACCTTGCCCTCAAAGAGTTTACATTCGAATGCCTGGAAGACAATGCATGAAAGGGCGTTGGAAAGGAGTGGGATGGGGAGGGGGAAGGTGACCAAAAGGGACTTTGTGGAGAAAATCTAGGTATCACAGTGACAAGAGTGCTGGGCCTGGAGTCAAGAGGACCCAAGTTCAAATTCAGCTTCGGACATTTACTAGCTGTGGGACCCCGGGCTAGTCACTTTACCCTGTTTGCCTCAGTTTCTTCATCTGTAAAATGAACTGGAGAAAGAAATGGCAAACTACTCCAGTATCTCTGCCAAGAAAACCCCAAATGGGGCTACAAAGAGTCTGAAAGGACCTAAAAACAAAGAGAAAAGTGAGGAGAGTGGAACTTGGAGAGCAATGAAAACATGCCTTGGAACTTTTCTTAAAATGGAGGCTCCGGAAGGAAGCAGCCAATCAGAGAACACAGCCAAAGGGCAGAGGGCACTTCCGGTGTGAGAAGTCCAAGGTGGAGGGAATGTCGAAGTGAGAAGGCTCTTCGAGGCTAGAAATATTTTCATACATGTGGATCCTTTTCCCGTTTTTATGATCTCTTTGGGATACAGACTTAGAAACAGTATTGCTGGGTCACCTGGGCTGTTCTTTACGTTAGCCCCACTTTGGCAGACTCCAGGCCTTTGTCTCTTTGTCTCCAGGTCCACGTGCTTGGAATGCTGTTGCTCCTCATCTCTGCCTCCTGAACCCCCTAACTCCCTTCCACGCTCAGCCTGAGGGCCACTGGCTTTAAGAGGCCACTCCAGATCCCCCCAGGTGTCCATGATGATCCCCCCTCCCCCCACAAATCACTTTGTACTGCTTTTCTATAGATCCCGTATCTGCTCATCAGCCAACATGTGGATTGTAAGCTCTTGGAGGACAGGGATAGCCCTGCTTTTGTATCTGTGCAACAGGGGCCTAGCACAGCACCTGGGAATGTAGCTGTAGTTGTGGTTGTTGTTTGTCTTCGTTTTTTTTGTTGTTTTTTTTTTTGTTTGTTTTGTTTTGGTGAGGCATATGCAATTACGTGACTTGCCCAGGGTCACACAGCTAGCGTCAAATGTCTGGTCTGAGACTGGATTTGAACTCAAGTCCTTCTGATTCCAGGGCTGGAGCTCTATCCACTGCGCCACCTAGCTGCCCCTTGTCTTCATTTTTGAAGAAGACCAATTTCCTTTCTGAAATTCTACCCCCTGTGCCTAAAACAACTGACTCAGCAGCTGAGCCCTGAATCTTCCCTCCTCCAGTCAGACCCCCAAGGGCTCAGCCAATTAACACCCAGCGTTAATGACTGACAAAGATACAACTCCTCCAGGGGGTTTTGCTTAGAAAATCTTTTAAAATATCTTTTAAAATTATATTTTTAAACATTTAACAAGCATTTACTTTTTCTTCCTTCTGTTCTACCCAACTCTTACTGAAGAAAAAAAAAAAAGAATAACAAAATCCTTGTAACAAATGCACACAGCAAAGCAAACC